AACGTTGGTACAAGATCACAGAAGATACAGGATCAATAATTTAAGGAAAACATCAGTAAGGTAAAAGAGGTTCAATCAAGAGAAATTAGTGACGAAATTCTTAGCCTAATTTAAAGGAATTTCAAAAATAAAACTTTGAAAGGGAAGCTTATATATAAGCATGCAGTTCAAAACAAAGAAGAACAATGAGAGTTTTTTCCATAATCATAGGCAAATAAGTTCACAAGTTCGATTACAGACTCGTCATGAGTCTGTAAACCTAGGGTTTCAGAGTGAAACCCTAGTGTCTTTCACTTCAAAGAAAAGAAAACCCCCCAAATCTTAGGGTTTCACATGGAGTCGGAGGTGAGGGAATCGTTCAAAGTCACAGAGATAGGCAGATATGCACAAACAGAAGTAAGAGGAAATTACGAGTTTTAAGAAGAGCATGATCAACAGAACTCAGAAACAAAATCAAAGCATGAGCTTAAACGCATAAGCAAAAGCGAGTCAATAACCTAGGCTAACATGTGAACAAAAGAGGTAAAAGAATCTCCGTAAAAGATCCAGTAAGAAACACAAGAGCAGGCTTGAACATAATAAGGAATAAAACAACGAGCATGAACACACATAAAAAGGGTAAAAGAATCAGAAACATTTAGAAACCATTTTCAGTAAACCCTAAAAATAGGATTCAGTTTTGAAAAGGGAAAATTGGGGAAAAACTCTAAAATGGCACACACAGCATAGATCTAGACGAATAAGCGAAAAAGGAACCTCGATTAGGCTAGGGTTTCTGAGAACCCAAAAGGACGAGAAGGCTTGGAAGTCTCGAGAATGGTTCTGAGCTAGCAAGGTCGAATCCAGGCTCGAGAGGCTGAGATACGCCGGAGCAAAGTCGGAAACGGCTTAAGAAACTCGAACCGGCCAGGGTCTGGATGAAGACCTTCGAGGTCTAGCCTCGAATCTTCAATGAGCAAGCGTGTGAGAGCATGAGATGGTGGGTAGAGGTTGTCCATGGGTAGATTCGCCATGGATTCTGGAGGTAGGTGGATATTAGGGTTTCAGAGGTTGAGAGGGTTCGAGAGAGACGAGAGGAACCAAGAGGCGGCGGATTTGGAGAATGGGGATAGGGTTAGGGTCATTTGGGAATTAAAATGGTAAGGAGGAAATGTGGTCGTTGATCATTTTGATCAACGGCCTGGATCAAAGGGAGTCGGGCGAGTAAAAATAAACGGGTCGTGGGTCGGGTTAATTGAGAAATTGGGTAGGGAATTTTGGGTCTGATTTGGGCTTAAGATTGAGGTTAATTTCGGGCTAAAATTGAAATGCAAAGGGCTAACTCTTAAATAGCCACTTTTCCCTTGTTTTAATTTATAAAAAAAATAGCAAAATAATTTCTGGAAATAAATCAAATGTGATAAAATGATTAATGATACATAATTATCAAATTAAAATTACTGGAGTCAATTTTATAAATATAATTACAATTGAATCTTTAAAGAGGCTAGTATTGCAATTATATGCAATTTGGTTTTAAAAATACCAAATGAATTTTTAAAAAATATGCAAAAATCATGTTAGCTATGTTTTGATGTAAATATGAGAATAAAATAAATCGTTCACCAAAATGGCAAATTTTGGGAATAATTATTGGATTTTATGGTATAAAAATAGGCAATAAATTGGTTTAAAAATCATCAAAAAATATCAAAACTCATGGGTATGCTTATATATGCACAAATATGCTATTTTGGATGTATTTTGGGTACGAAAAATACATAGGAAACAATTAGGTATCAACAATCCTCCGGGTTCATCTTGATTTGGTTGTACCTGGAGTAAGCATCAAGAAAACTCATTAACTCGTGATGACTCATAGCTACTACATTCATCTCCCTTGCTGCCGGTTGGTCTCCCTTTATTTTCTTAACTCCTTCCAGTGTTGAGAATTTCAACAACTGGTGATATGTTGAGAGCACAACTTTCATCACGTGTACCACGGCCTTTCGAGGATTACATCATAACCCATATCGCCATCTACCACTTCAAATAAAGTGCTTATGATCAATCCTTCGACATTTGTGGGTAGAAAAATCTCTTCTCGGGTTGTCACACTTGTCAAGCTGAATCCATCTAAGAGTTTTGTCGTCATAATGATGCTTTCAGTCAGCTTTGCTTGCTCTAAAACTCTCCATTGTATTATGTTGGCTGAACTTCATGGGTCAACCAAAACACTTTTAATTTTGAAATCTAAAACATTGATAGAGATTACCATAGCGTCGTTGTGTGGTAGGAGTCTGTCAGCGTCTTCCTTTGTGTAAGTGATGTCAACTTCTGCAACTTCCCGAAGTCTCTTGTAGTGACCGATATCTTTTTCTTCTTTGCTGCTGAAAAGGTTACACTGTTGAATTCATTTTCTCCGAAAATCATGTTGATAGTCAACCGAGGGGAGCCTTCTACTAATTTCGAAGGCTCTTCAATGTCCCGTCTTCGACCGTAGTGGTTCTTGGCTAGGTCACTTAAAAACTCCCTGAGATGACCATTCTTCAACAATGTCGCCATTCCTTCACAAAGATGTCAGCAGTCCCCAATTCTAAGGAAAGTTCCATGGTATTCACACCATAAATTGGGATCCCTCTGGCTAGGATTAGATCGGATTGGCTTCGGGAACCGTGCTTCTTTGATATTCCTCATTGTTGATACCAACTCTACTAAATGGATGATAAAGTTGTAATCTGATAACTTAGGATACGTAGAGTCTTGAGCCCCTGGCATCTCCTTCTCCTGTAACGACCTACTGCTCCGACCATGATTTGTTCTCCTATCGGGAGTAAACTTATCTGATGATCGAAACCCTTTGATGTTACGACCTTCGGTTCTTTCATACGGTAGAAACAACCCCTAGAGGATCGTCGATCCGCATCAAAGTCGTTTTTAAACTTATCATGGTTGTTATCTCGATCCTGTCCCTTAGTTGATACCGGGAACCTGAGCTGATCATCTTCTATCCTTATTTTTGACTAATAACGATTATGAACATCTGCTCATGTGGTTTCTTGAAACTCGATCAGGCTTTCCTTCAGCTTTCGGGAGGCGTCGGAGCTTGATTTCGACCCTTTGTTAATGCCTCCGCTGCCCACTCATCCAGTACCGCTGGTAACGTCATCCTCTCTTTATGGAACCGGATCACGAATTCTCGCAGTAGTTCAGACTCGCATTGTGCAATCCTGAATATGTCCGCCTTTCTGGCTTGAACCTTCCTTGCTCCGGCGTGGGCCTTAATGAACAAGTCTGCAAGCATCTCAAAAGAGAGAATACCATGTCAAGGCGTACTTTGTGAGGGTTTCACCAAATTTCTTCAGTAATACCAACTCGACCTCATGTTGAGCCAAATTGTCCCCTTTCACAATCGTGGTGTAGGTTATGATGTCCTCCTGCGGATCTAAAGTCCCATCATATTTTGATATGTCTAGCATCTTAAAACTTTTTGGAATTAACTCTGGTGTTGCGCTCGGTTTAAATGGCAATTGTCTGTATTTTTTTGAATCTGGGCCTTTTAGTATCAATGGCACGCCCAGAATCTGATCCATCCGAACGTGAAACTCATTCGCATTTGATCCGTTCATTTGTTCATTTCCCTTATAAACCTCATCATGTCAGTTTTAAAGGGATCATTCATGTTGTTATTTCCATATCCGCCGTCGGTCCCTCAAGCTTCGTCGAAACCAACTTCACCCCTTGGGGTGCTATTATCGACCATCTGAGCCGTTTGGTTTGCACTAACACTGGGAAGAACCGGGCCCCTTCCATTTGAGTTATTGGAGGGGCCTGAAAATGATTCTTTTAACTCCATCATCACCTGATCCTACCTGAAAGACGTTTCATGATTGCTTTCTGCTGTTCTCTTAGAATTTTAACCGTTTCCATGACATGTTCCTCATCTGCATCATCGGGAGTCGATTCCCGCACATGACGATGATACTAGCCATCTTGAACCGGGGTCATCTCATCCCCGTTGTTGCGAGTCTCACTAATTGAGTCAACATGTTGGGACAATTCTTTGAGCCCCTCAATGTTGTGTGTGATGTTAACGTCATTAGCTGCCATATGTTTCTCTATTTTTTTATTAAGGAAAGAATCAAAACGAGTTAGTAATAAATGCAAGGTCAAACAAATTAAGCAAATGCCTAAGCCCCACAGTGGGCGCCAAACAGTTTACCCGCAAAATGATACAGTTAAATTTGTTGCATGGTTTATAGACAAGCGAATTAATTTGATCCGAAAATAATAAAGATATAAGATTAAAATTGAGATTAGAAATTGAATTTGAAAAAGATGACAAGTCTGGCTCCGAATGCAATGCCTTCAAGGACAAAAGTGAAAGTAACGATAAAGTGCAAATAAAGTTATTTAATTGAGAGCAAATAGAGTAAAATATATCCTTCTTTGTATGGAATGTTTCATGACAATGGTTGTTGAGCCTGATATTTATAGCTCTACCTAGGGAAACAAGATCCTAGGATCAAGCTCCTTTTTAAATGATTGTAAAAGAGTCATTGATGAACATGTAACGGTAGGCCATGAATGCAAATATTCTCTGCACAGTCACTCATTTAATATTAGAGAATATTCCCCCATTGAATACTATCCGATGGTAAATCCTTGATCTTCTCCCTTTGATTACGCTCCCTTCGGGATTTACCCGATGTCGATTACATTCGTCGTATCCAGTATTGGTTATTACCTGACTTGCCTATGGCCTATCTTCGGTGCCACGTGTCATGTTACCATTCAACTATTTGTTATAAACCAATTTTACCCCATACAGGTTGGGCGTGGTGTTGATCCTGATAGCTATTTATTTTATTTTTTTGAATATTCTGATGGCTATTTAGTGAGTTGAATATTGGTTATCCTGAACAATTTTATGTTCAACTAATCATATGTTGTGGTATTCTACTATATATAAATGAACAAGGAGTACGAACACTGTTGTGGCTTATTGTACTCACTGTTATGTAAATGGTATTGTACACTTGAGCCCATCTAATTGAAGTGGTAACACGTGTAATATTTCTCTTTGTGTAGCACACCACGCGTACCACTGATTTTGTGTTCATCTGTGATTTCTCCAATGCCGTCTCCTTTCAGCCCAGAAGCAATATGGTATTTTTTTCCTTTCTTCTGCTTCCACTCTTCTCCGGCTCTTTCAAGAACAGCTACGTTGTTGCTCTGTTGTGTCCACTTTTATGTTCTATGCTCAAGTTCAGACTTCAGATTATCTCATCTTTCTTCTGGGCTTCACTCTCACACCTTTAAAGTGTAATCTCTTTGCTTTGGTGAGTTTCAGTTGCTATAAACGAACCGAATTTGCTTATTCTCTATATCGCTCTCCTTCTACTTTTTTTCTGCAGTCATTTATCCCATTTGTTTTGGTTGCTCTTCCATTGTTGCTTCTATTGCTCTGCTCATTCTGGTTTATTCCATTTAAATTCCCCCCTCTTGCTTGGTTTAGTTGGACAATCTTGCACACGCATGCATCTGCAATTGAGCTTTTTTAAAATTTCTCAATTTGAATTCCAAATTAACACTAATGTGTGCTTTATTTTGCTTAATTGTGGTAAGTTTTACTATATTCTTGCATTTATTTTAGTGCATCTGATTATTGCTGATGGGATTATGGTGGGTATATGGTGGTTTCTCAATTCTTTTGGATAGTTTCTTGTGCCTGAATCCACATTGTATTGATGATGTTTAATAATATGCTTCAGTCAACTGATTTTTTCTTGCTTTTCTCTTTTGAGTTTTGACATGTGTTCTGCAATTACGCACATTAGTAGACTCGATTGGTTGGGCACATGCATATCCGGAATCGGCTTACAAATAAAAGTTCTACCCACTTTCTCTTTTCCAATACACATTTTTTTTCTCAAGTAAAACCTCTTACCAACCTTTATTTCTCAGTCTCTTGATATTCCATTTCGATATTCATCTATGTGTCTTTATTTATGTTTTATCTTGCTATAATTTTGGTATTTGAAATATCAAGAAGCGTAAATTTTTCTTCATTCCTAATGTTATCTTTTTGGTTCTATTTTGGGGTAAATTTCTCAGTTTTGGGATAAGTGAGTCATGTTATCTTATTTAAAGCGAAAAAGTTATATTTATTGTAGGACATCTACAACCATACCAATGAAAGATATGGACTAAACTATTTATAGATTATGGATTCAAATTTGTTTGTCTGAAGTCTGAACTAAAGAGTTTTATCATTTGTAAATAACATTAGTCGGCTGTTAAAGATGTCTTTCAATATATGTACTCTATCAAGTAAGCTTTCACTGTAGTAGAAAATGAAACTGTATGAAAGAGATGATGACTACGAGGACAAAGATAGTCATACTGAAAAAGTTGTCATCACGCGATACATGCCAACTGCTTTAGACATTACATCTCTTGCTGTGCGGGGACCTGAATTAGCGCTCTATTTGTTTATCATAGAGTTTATTGTAAGATATAACCTACAATTTACATCCGTTTGGTATTAAACTGGGATACATTCTGCATATATCTCTTTAGTAATCAGAATTTATTTTGAACAACGGAGGAATTAGCCACATCACCCATATGTAGAAAATGTTGTTCAAGGTTTGCACAAGCTATTGTGCCATAATTTAAACTTAATTTCAAGTAGTTTTTGTCATTTCTATAATTAGCCAAATGAGATTCAAAAAACTTCTGTTACACTTTATAATCCGAAGTGCTCTACTTATAATCATCAGCAAACTATACTTCTCTCTTAATTCCTACTCTTCTTTGATACATATTTATTGGTGGTACTTTGAGAATACAACTTAAATATGATTTACAAGAACAAGTACTATATGATGTAGGCAACTTGATATCTCCTTTCAATCCGTTCATCAAGCAAAGGGATTTATTTTGTGCCTTTGTGCAGGACAACTAAAACTTATATTTGATTGCAGCAATGCCACATTTTATGCTTTCTCTTTGATAACTCGCTATTGGCAAACTTTGGTTTCTCAATCTGCTTATTTTAGCTGAAGTGAGTTTTTACTTTGTTGTTGTTCCTAACGTTTTTTTAAGGAAAAGGAAGTGTTGACCTTCCGTCACTAGCCATACGTGTCATCCTTCTTTTATGGTACAATCAAATAACATTTCTCTGTGCAGGATAAAGACCTTTAACCAATCTGCTTGCTCTTCAGTACTGTGACATTGTGAGTTATTGAATTCTTTCTTAAGTGCTAATTTGTGTTTAAATGTCTCTCATTTTTAATTGTTTGTTCTCCTTAGTGGTTAAATCATTAAGGATAACAAGACTGGGATAGCCTTTGGCTGCTTTCATTTGTAAGTTTGAGATTCCAGTAAAACCATGGCTACAAGTATTTACAGTGAAATGTTGCGTCTCAATTCCAGAAAAACATCCGTTGCAATTCACCTACGTGTGCCTTTTTTAGTTTTTGCAGTAATAGCATTTGACTGCATCGTTCCTGTGCAAAGTATGGTCGAGATAAAAGATGAATGCAGTATTCTTCTTCTGCAATAGATAAGTGGTTGTCTTGTTCAAATTAGATGTCTTAGTTAAGCGCCTTACATGACAAGCCAGACTCCAAGGGCGCTCTTGGAGCAAGTTGCTCGGGAGGCCTTTGTTATATCGCTATTGATCCATTTTGGAGTATGTTTATTTTATGCAACTAAGAAATATAGTGGAGCTCTAACAAATGTTGGTCTATACTACTAATATATATTTCCTAATAGGTTCTTTGAATATCACATTATATTATACGGAACTTACTCCAATTTCTGTACTTCATGTAAACATATTCTTTGATGAGATTTAACTGTTGAATACTAGATAGTATAATGTTAGACATAAATGAAGGTTGCTCGAGTACTAGATAAACATGATTGTATTACCTCACTTAATAACAATCACCAAATCATCTTAATCTATATCCCCATGTTGTGCCCGTGCATCGCGGGCATTACTTGCTAGTATAATATATGTTAACATGGAACACTCTTAATTATTTGCTGCCGGTCCTTCAATTGGAACTGAATTCTGAAACTTTGATGCTGAATCAATAGATTCATTACTACGCCAATTCCAAGCTCTGCGCTGGGAACGAGCCAACTTGACATCCCATAGTACCTCAAATCTATAGAATACTACCACCACACAAATATCTTTGAGACAGTGCGATTACAGGGCTTTACAAATTAGTTGTCGATTTGTTTTTAAGATTAAGGTGGGGCCGGCTTACTTCAAAGTTCCAAATTTAGCTTGTTTTATTTTACAAAACAAAACAAAAAGTCAACCAAACGCTGAGAAAGAATATAACTTCACATTATTTTTAGAAACCTCTAGGTCCTTCGTGAAGCTAGAAGTTCTTGACTCCAACTAAATTCTGTGCATTTGTTATATATATATATTTTACTGCACTTATGATGAGAGGGAATATGTCAACCAACAAGGTTAAAAGAGGGACAAAAACTGGAGCTTATATATGTATATATAATTTTTTTTTTTTTTTACTGCACTTATGATGAGAGGGAATATGTCAACCAACAAGGTTAAAAGAGGGACAAAAACTGGAGCTGCATTTTGAATTTACTTTCGATCAGCAGAAACGTGAAAGATACGTATACGTTGCTGATGAGTATTCTAGTCATGATGCATGTGCCTCAATAGTTTAACTTAAAATGCCACCGACAATACAAGGTGTTTTCGGGTCGAATCGGGACTATATTTAACTTTAAAAATTAATAACGGGCCGGGGTAGGTCAAGATAAAAAGCTTTCATTTAGGGTTACGTTGCTAGAGAAATATTCTTGCCAAATCCATCATAAGAAGTTGAAATATTTGAGAGAGAGAGAGAGATATGGAGTGGATGGGAGAGCAGATGGAGTCTATAAAGTCAATTCGGTTGAGACAAGTCCTCAACGATGATTGTTACATCGGCACTAATCCATCTATATCTATATCTATATCTATATCTATCTATCTATATCTATCTATATCTATATCTATATCTATATCTATATTATTATAAAAGCATGAATACAAAGTCGGTTTACAAAATAACCTTATAATATTAAGCATAATAACTCATAATAAAAGGATATAACCGGAATTCTAGATATTACCATTATAATCCTATTAGTTTTAGGATATAATACTACACGTTAGAATCCTACACGATACCAAGACAACTTATAAAAGGAATTGTAGCAACTAAGCGGCAGAATCACTTATATGGACGTTCTACCTTTTGTTTAATCTCTATGCAAATGTAAATATTTCGCACATAAAGTAAAATCATAGAAGAGAAACTAATTGGAATTTGAGGATCACTATTCAATAATCGGATCTTGTGATAGAATGATAAACGAGAAGTCGAGAACCTAATTTTATCCAAATTTTAAGGTTATTAAATACAAATGGAGGACAAGTTATTCACCCAAATCACTTTTACTCTTATCTATATCTATATATGTCTATGTCTATCTATATCAATATTATTATAAGAGCATGAATAAAATGTTGGAGTACAAAAATAACATTTTAATATTAACCATAATAACTCACAATAAAGGGACATAATCAGAATTCTAGACATTAGCCTTGTAATCCTATTAGTTTTAGCCTTTTAGGACATAATACTACACGTTAAAAATCCTACATGATAACCTTTAAGAAACCTATTAGTATAATTTTTTGGCATAAATATATAATACTACATGTTAGAATGTACACCTAATACGTTTAGGAACATGTTAAATTTTCTATTAGTATAATTACTTTGGGGATATGGACATATTTTTAGCCATGTAATCCTATTACTTTTAGGATATACTTCTTAAAAAATTTCTATTAGTAATTTAACTTAAAAACGTATTATATTGTCCAAATCCATTTAGAAACATGAGAGTCTATATCTATCTATCTATATTATTATAAAAGCACGAATGTTCTATGCTAAATGTCGAACAACAAAAATATCCCTAAAATATTGATTGACATTTATACCCTTAATTATTTACATTAGTGTTTACAGAAAATCGTATGAAAAGGACAAAACTAGAAATACTACACACTAGGATAGGTACTTGTAATAGAATCCATCGCAAATCAGGATCTCTTCAGCGGCGGTGATTTATTACAACACTAAGTGCACAAATATTGGTGGATTTGAATGTTCTATTATATGCAAAATATTAATTAATATTTGAAGAGATTTAACTTCCATTTTTTATTCATGGTATCTTTATTTTCCATGCAGAATCCCAAATTAATATATATTTATATTATAAATTTTCTACCTAATTCAATAAGAAAAGATTAGTAATCAAAATTTTAGTTGATTATAAAATTATAAATATTAAAAAATAACTTAAATGGCTAATTTATTCTATTATATGCAAAATATTAATTGATTTTTGAAGAGATTTGACTTCCGTTTTCTATACATGGTATTTTTATTTTCCATACATAATCCCAAACTAATATATATTTATATTATATACTTCCTACCTAATTCAATAAGAAAACTAGAAAAGATTAGTAATCAAAATTTTAGTTGATTATAAAACTTTAAATATTAAAAGAATAAATTTAATGATAATTTTATTCAATGCATAATTTATTTTTAAAAGGAAAAAAAGATAAACGATATTATATTTCATTAAAGGCCTTCGTGCTTTTAATATAGTCTGTATCTATCTATATTTATCTATATATCTATCTATCTATATTATTATAAAAGCACGAATGTTTCATGCTAAATGTTGAACGACAAAAATATCCTTAAAATATTAATCAACTTTTATACTCTTATATTTTGTTAAAAAGATAGTTCCATATTGAATAAAATAATAATATCTAATTAATTTGCCTAATATTTAGGAATCTAATACCAACTAATGATAGAATTTCTCAATGTACGTTACCTCCTGCCATCATCCACATTAGAGGCGCATCCGGGATTTAAATCTTATGGGTTCAACTTTTAAGGTTTTTAGCATTGAACTCATTATATTTTTAAAGTTATGGGTTCATATCCGATACTTTTGAAATTTTAATAAATTTTTACATATAAATTGTTACTCCGCATCGAAAGTTATGGGTTCAGTTGAACCCGTTAGTTGTACACTACATCCGCCTCTGATCCACATCTCCTACACAGTTATACCAACAATCTCATATATTATTCTTTTATTAAATGACCAAATATTAAAACTTTGAGTTGGACAATATCAATCAAACCATGCTCCTTATGATTATTTTTTAAAATTTAATTTGAAACTCTTTCATAAATAATTGACTTAAAAATCTCGTGCAACGCACGAACGTAGAAACTAGTTATTATAAAAGCATGAAGCCCTTAACTAAAAAATTAAAATACCAAATTACCCTTTTAAATAACATAAATATACCTAAGTACCCTTTTTATTAATTAAACTAAATATCCTATTTAATAAAATAAAAACCAAACGGCTAGGAGAAGGCAACGCTTCATGATGTGCTATTTCTATGTTGCTCAGATGATCCACATTTATCAATAATAGAAACTTATATTTTATTTTTTGATGTATATTACTCAACTATTTTTTAATAATATTAATATTATTTTGTGAAATACATGATTCGGCATACACGTGCAACGCACATGCCGAGAAACTAGTACTATATTAAAAGTGGGAAGCTCTAAACTAAAAAGTTAAATTACCAATTTACCCTTCTAAAAATTAAATACCATAGTCACAAAAAAGATAGGCCAAATACATATAGAGACCATTAAACTTGGCCCAATTTTTCATTTTGGCACTCTAACTAACTCTTGTTCCATTTTGGCCCTCCAACCCCAATTTTTGTGTTCCATTTTGACACAAAATTTTTTCTCCCAGGTAAAAATGCAGCACGTGCATTTCAGCTGCTACCCCACCCCACTGCCCACCCCCACCCCACCCCCGCGCAAAAAAAACTGTTTTTTGTAATTTCAAATTATATNCTGAGTCCCAGTTCGAGCGAGGTCGAAGTGTCGAGTTTTGATGGCGAAAGCACTTAGCTTGAGTCCCAGTTCGAGCGAGGTCGAACTGTCAAGTTTTGATGGCAAAGGCACTTAGCCTGAGTCCCAGTTCGAGCGAGGTCGAACTGTCAAGGATATAAACCCATAACTTTAAAAATATAATGGGTTCAATGTTAAAAATATTAAAATTGAATCCATAGGATTTAAATTCTAGATCCGCCTCTACGTTGAGAGTATGAAATCTGGCTGAAAAAATATCCCTCACGCGCCTAAAGGGTGAGGCAAATCACACACTAAATCTAGTCAGCTTTTGTGTTAAAGTGGAACACAAAAATTGAGGTTGGAGGGCCAAAATGGAACAAGAGTTAGTTAGAGTGCAAAAATGAAAAATTGGACCAAGTTTAATGG